TTTGATGGAAATGAAAATGATCAACCTACAGAGGGCTGAATTCAAAGACACCCCAAACATTAAAGTGATTTTCTGAAAGTGACTTATGTTGACAACATGAGACAATAGATGGAGTCCTGGGGATCTGATCTCCAGATCTGGACCAGGGCATCACTGAGCTCCTGGACAGTCTGAAGTTCAACCCGGTGGTGTCAGATGGAGCGAAACATAATGTCCCAGAAGTATTCTGTTGGATTTAGGTCAGGTGTGTATGGGGACCAGTCAGTGGTATCAGTTCCTTCATTCTTTCATCCTCCAGGAACTGTCTGCATACTCTTGCCAAATGATGAAGTGCACTGTTGTGCACCACCAGGAACCAGGGGAGGATCTGACAATGAGTCCAAGGATTTCATGGGCCTGTGAATAGGGCCCACTAGAGGATGTGGGGTCCTCAGGCCAGCCTCATAAAATCTGTTTCAGATTGTTTGGTCAGTGACATTGACACGAGTGTCCTCCTTGAGGTCATTTTGTAGCTTTGGCAGTGCTCAGCCTGTTCCACCTTGCACGAAGGGGCAGACACTGGTCCTGCTGATGGGTTATGGACCTCCTGGAGGAGGTGGCCTACCTGTTTCAGGTAACTTAGAGCGAATGCTATAGAAATGTGAATTTTGTAGTACTTTGCCTCTGTAATTCAATTTTTTTGTTAATTTATACTTCTGCTTTTTTAGGTCGTTTTTTAGAAATGCCACTGGTGATATTACAAACCCAAACCCTATTAAATGGGAATATTTAATTTTTAAATCATGCGGCCATGTCTTGCAATCAGGAGACAAAGAAAGCAAAAATTCTGACGCATAAAAAACTTTACACTTTTTCCTAAGTGTTTTTTGCCTCTCTCTAAAACAAGGGTTTAGTAGGGTTAAGATTAGGGTCATCAACAATGATAACTTATATCTCACAGAGTTAAGAAACATAGTTTGAGGTGTTTTTAGGAAAATCAACCAGTCTCATTTCAGTTTATAAAATGTATTTACCCAATCATCTCTAATAAAAACATTTATATCTGCCTCACATTCAGATTTTCTTAATAGCTCCACAAACCTATTTTTTTTTTACAATCCCCCGTTCATAACGTGACAGCCACAGAACACAACTTCTGAACTGTAAAAGGAACCACTAAGCGTACACTCATCAGCCACTGTATCGGATACACGTGTTCAACTGTTTATTAATGCAAATTTCTATTTAGACAATCACATGGTAGCGACTCAATGCATTCAGACATTCTGATGACTCGCTGAAGTTCAAATTGAGCACCAGAATGAAGAATGTTTAAAGTGGGTTTAATGTGCCATGTTTGTAGGGACCAGACACGTGGTCTGAGAACTGCAAAACTGCTCATCTGCAGAGATTTTCTCACTCAACCATTTCTAGAGTTTTACAGAGAATGGTCTAAAAGGTAAAATATACAGAGAGCGACAGTTTGTAGGCAAAAATGCACTGTTGGAGTCAGAAATCACACAAGAATGGCCAGACTGCTTCAAGCTGAAGGCAACAGGAACTCAAATAACTAGTAGCTACAACCAAGTATGCAGAAGAGCATCTCTAAATGGATAACATGTTAAACCTTGATGCAGATGGGCTACAGCAGCAGATGACCAACTGGGTGCAGCTGCTGTCAGCTGAGAACAATAACTGAGAGGAGATTCACAAATCTACAGTAACTGTATGATGCTATGTCTGTGAAGGTTCTCAGTCATCCAGGTCATCGTAGTCAAAGGAGCTTGCAAAGAAAAGCGTCTGGAGATTGGGACCCACACCCAGTTTCGCACCTTGACTCAGGCGATTAGAGGACCATCAGGGGTCCTTTTGTCCCTCTTTGGGGGATACTCCCACTAGGCTTATATCTGGGACTCTCCACCATTTGACCTTAGAACTGAAGAAGCTTCTAGGATGAGAGGTGAAACGTCTTCAAGTAACTTAAAGAAGTCCAGACGCTTTTCTTTGCAAGCTCCTTTGACTGATGCTATCACATGACTATGGACTAAAATCTCTAAAGAATATTTCCAGCACCATGTTGAATCAAAACCACAAAGAACTGAGTATTAGTGTTTGCTAATTGGTTAGCAGCTGGTCTTTAATCCATCTATTAACAGTATTTGGATGATAAATCTGTAACTGATACTGATGAAACTATGCAAATGTTTAGAAAACAGGCACCCTGTTGGATTAAAATGAACTGACTTGCTATTATAAAGTTGTATCTGAAGAGCACATAAACTGTATTAGATGTATTACACTCCTTGATCTTTCAATTGAGGTGTTTTCAGTAAAATCAAGCACCTATTCATGCTGTCTGCTTCTACAAAAGTGTGAAAGAACAAGTCGTTCTAACAAGCTCATTGGAATTAGATACCACTATTGCAACGAGCAAGTTTATGAGGTTTCTTGTATTATTACAAAGTGGAAACCATAGCAAGTGAGCCATGAATGAGCCAACCACGTGAAGTTACAGAGCAGGGTTGCAGACTGCTGAGTTACATTATTCATATTAGCCACGAAAGCTCTGCTGACTCAATAACTGCAGACTTCCAAACATCCTCTGGCATTAACATCAGCACAAAACCTGTGCACCAGGAGCTTCACAGCTTAGCACCTCCTGTAGGTGTGTGTGGCCCAGCACTTTTGTTCATAGAGCTTAAATTCAGGAAAAGGTTGTGGTTTGTTTTAAAATGTCATGACTTAAGAGTAAGGCCACCCTAGCACCACATGTGTGTCACCAGACCACATGTACATGAGACACCAGCAGCTCTGACTGAACAACAGTGTTCACTGATCCGTGATTAAAATTTTACAAGACAACAACTAAGAAAGGCAGATTTCCTTTTACCCACATTCTTATGTAAAACATTAGAATCTTTCCTCATAAAAAGCTCCTTGCTGTTGTTGTGCTTGATTAATTGTGTGCGGGAAGACCGAGGTTCAATTTCTATTAAGCCATACGGGTTTTGATAAAGAAAGCAAAATCTGTACCTCTGCTGTTGTGTCTGATTCCTGCTGATTTCGACACACTCGGCACAACAGAGGACAGAGTGGGCAGATGAGGATGAGGAAAAGAACAATACAGGAGGAAAAAAAGTGCTGATCTCTTTCTCTCTGCCTCCCCGTCATCCTCCCTCCCTCTCATTCAGTATGCTGACTGTTTCTGTACAGAAAACTGACTCCCACGCTATTCTGCCTGGCCTATTTATCACATTGATCAGCTTATAAAGAAATCAGATATACACTGGAGGCTCGCTAGGAGAACTGCTTATATGAGACGGATCATGAATTTTTCTTCTTTTTTTTAGCACCCTCTGAGATACACTGCACCGAGCTCACTTTACTCATTACTCCAATCTTGCTAACGTGGTCATCTCATCATAAATGTGCTGACAGTTTTTCTTACACAACAGTCACAAACAAAAGAAACAACACAGAATACAAAATTTCTAAGTGTATATTGTTAGCCAAAACACAACAAATGGGAACAAAATTAAAAATGTGACCCAAAACACAATGAAGGGTCTGTGTTATGTTCGCTAAAACACCACAAATAGTAACAAATTCACGTTAGATAAGAGGCTGTGGTTTCCTTTATTCCTTTATTTTATTTTGGTTTATTTTTTTTTTCCAGCTTCTCAAATAAGTATTTAATTTGGATTGCCACTGGTCTCTTGTAATCGTGCATCTTTTGTTGTTTGCTCATTTAAAAATCCTTCCATAGGCTAATGGCTAATGCCATTAAATGTCAGGAAACATGCAGTAATGCCTGGAGATGAACCTCTGGTAATCGCAGACATCCTGATCTTCCTTCCAGTGACGGGTGATATTTAAGCGATTCCAAAAAAAGAAGAAAAAAAATCCCTTGTTTCTACTACAGCACCATCTCAGTAAGCATCTACAGTTGCCACAACTGTAGATGCTTACTGAGATAGATCTGTGTGGCTGCCACAGCCACACAGATCTAAACTGAACCGTCGAAGCTACGTCTGTTCTTCCGCATCCCAAGAAGACAGCAGGAACTCAGTGTGTCCATGTGTTTGGAAAAGCCACCATTTGTCCCTAATCATTTCTAAAAAGTGTAATCTAACAATCTAACCACAAAGAAGGGACAAAGCATCTCTCCCCTGAACACAGTAATCCAATCGACCGGGTATCATCCCTGAAAATAGCAACAGGGCCTGTTATAAGCCCTCAGTCACAGCAATTCCCATCTCCGTCTCATCGCAAATATCACACCCGCCCTCATCATATCCTCTACAAACGGGTGGAGTGAGTGAATGAATGGCATTTGCATTACATCGGCATAAAGCAGTGATCCTGCCGCTTTCCTTACAGATGCAGTGGTGTATCCTCAGAATATCAATGCTTACGTTCTGGGGAGCTCCAGCTGCCTGCCTTATTGCTTCCAGTGCGCTTCGCTAAAATGTATTCCTACTGTCTCCCGGCTGTCATTGCAGGAGTTTAAAAATAAACAAATAAATATATTGGAATAAAATCTGTATTTCACCTCTAATAAGATGCAAAATGAGACATAGCCTACACACCCCTAAAGACTACACCTTTCACCTTTCTCATTCGAGAAGTCAGGAGATTTTCCTGAGTCTACGGAGGCTTGAGCCGCTGACTCTCAGCACTCTGACCTCACACGTCTCCCTTGTTTTGTAATCGTTTTGAACATTTTCCTATAAGGTTGCATTGTTACGATACCTTCTGTTATCTAAGAGAGCCCAGCGGATTTTAAGTGGCTATCCATTTTTACGTGAACATTATCATTATTATTTTAAAGACCAGAGCCTTGGTGAATCCATCCTTGCACACAGCAACACCAACACCAGTGGTTGCTGCAAATGAAGCAGAACTGCCAGATTGGTTTGGGGGGTGTTTTTCACCTGATTACGTTTCTTTGGTTCCCCGCGACTCCAAACACACTTTCCATTCTAAGCGACACATGGCACAAACATTGGGGGGATGCCTACCGCACAGCAGCTGCATCCAGGCGCAGGTCTTGTAAACGGTGGAGGTGTTGCAGAAGAAGAAGAGCGCCATGCAGGCGATGCAGCTGAGGATCAGCACCATGGACAGCAGCACGAACACTGAGGCCGCCTTGAAGGCTCCGGACGGGATGGAGCTGAAGTCGGAGAAGCTGCCCACGCAGGTGAGCTCCCGGCTGGGCGACGGCCCGGTACCCACGCAGTAGTGGAAGAGGCCGAAGTAGCCGGCCTGCGGCGTGTTGACGCTGTCGCCGATCCAGTAGGGCTGGATGAACACCACCACATTGACGATGGCGAAGCAGATGGTGAAGATGGCCCACAGCACCCCGATGGCTCGGGAGTTGCGCATATAATTGTCATGGTAGATCTTGGAGGCTTCTTGGGAAGGCAACATGTTTGGTCGTTTTTTTCTCCCCTCTCCTTCTTCTTAGATATTTTTTACACCCCCGTCCCGCTTCTTCTTTACACTCTCATATATATATATATATATTTAAAAAAGATGTAAAAGATGTAAAAGCCCCCGCACAGCTCGACACACCTGACTATTCAGATAATATCTTCTCTTCTACACGAAAGCTAATGTTTCCCTCGCTTTGGCTGTTTCTTGGCTGTTAAAAGGGCCTACATAAGCACACGATAAAACCAGACCTGCACATATGTGTGTGATCTTACAAGACTACACATAGTGGGGGGGAAAGAATAATGGGAATGCTACATTGAAGCAATACAAAAATCATAGCCTACCTATACTCCTAATGAATAATTTACTAACACCAGTGATTCAACATTGCTGTCTAAGGCTCGTTTCCTCAGGGCTACACTATAAATGATTAACAATTAAAAAAATCACAATAGGATTCCCCCCCTTTATTTCACAGTCGCTGGGTGGAGGGGGTTAAAGCTGCTTTTCCATCCTCATCCATCAGTCCAGAGCTGTCTTCATCAGGATGTCCTTTTATTACCATCCGTGAGATGAGATGCCTGTAGCGCCAGCGGTGGACCCCCGTTTTTAGCTTCCCAGGGATCCGCGGGGTGCTCCCCTTCCTCTGCTCGCCTCTACTGTCCACGCAGCATGTGGGGGGAGGGAGGGGGGCAAAAAAATCAAACGCGGTGAAACGAAAAAGGGAAAACCAAAAAAAAAAAAAAAAAAAAAAAGATGGAGACCAGCCTTTAACACGAGCCCTCTGTCAAATTTCAACAGTCCTTTCTCGTAAATCCGACATCCTCCACCGCCTCGACTCCATTATCATCGTGCTTTTTGTCGCCTTTATCCAGTGTGTCTCAGACCTCTCTCTCTCTCGCTTTCTCCGTCCTCCTCCTCCTCCTCCCGTCTCTCTCTCTCGCTCTCCCTCTCTCTCTGCGCGCCCCCCGAAAGATGCTGATGTTGTACTGATGACAGCGCTGGAGCGCGTTCACGTAAGCGGGCGCAGCAGCAGCATAAGGGGTGGAGAAGCTTGGGGGGCGGATTTGCATCAGAGCGCGTCTCAGCCTTTCTTCACCTTAAATTTGAAATCACACCAACAAATATTCCGGACCCACAGTGACCACCACGATGGTGTTACCCACGGATTCAAACCATTCCAGTTCTATCATGATCGGGCTAATTTGCAAAATCTAAATATGAAATACAGACTTTTTTCATGTTACATAGCATCCCCCCCCCCCCCCGTTTTTGTGCTCTTGGGGTGTTTCAGGAGGCAGAGCAGGTCATCTACTAACGGGGAGGTTGTTGGTTCGACCCCTTAGCCTACTGCCAGGGTCTCCGTGTCCACGTATCCTTGGGCAAGATACTGAACCCATAGTTACTGCCGATGCGTTCACGGTACTGTGTGTGAATGTTAGATAGAAATCAGTTAAACGTAGAACAACAAGTGTTTGGGTGAAAGAGGCATGCTGTTTAAAAAGAAAAGCGCTATATAAGATACATCTCTCAAATGCATGCATGGCAATAGTAGCTATGCATATTTGAAAAGCTTGTAGTAGATTGATGTTTGTTTGTTGGTTTTATTATTTATTGTTTTGTTAGTTTTTGTCTGTTAATCTGCTGTTTTTTGGTCTGTTCTATCTGACTAACCAGCTAGAAATGTGAACTCTAGCATTTTAACCCATTTGAGTGTTATCAGGCAATTGGTAAGGCCAAGTAGTGACACATACATGGGAGTGAGAACAACTATAAACTGTACCTAAAAGATGGACACAACAACCTTGCTGTCACCCACTGGTTTCTAGACTGTTTCCTTTTTTAAAACTTCAGCATTAGCCTTTAAGCAGCCATCAAAAACTGTGATGTTGATTTATTTATTTATTCATTGAGACAGAAGTGTTGGAAAGGTTGGAATACTAAGCACAGTTGGTTAGCATCTGTAAATGGTAAGGCTATAACATACAGATTGAAATATGTGCTAATTATTGCTAAATAACCGATCAATAAAATATCGATTTTACAGAACTGTATTATAAACATCTTGGAGGGTTTGAACCACATAGCAAGCCATCAGCGACTACTTCGCTAGCCTCAGCAGTATGCAAATGGGGTAATGGAAAAAACAGGATTTAAAAAAACATGATTTTAATACTTTTAACTTGGGCATTTTAGCAGGGAGTCAATGGGGACTGACTCGCTTTGGGAGCCAGCCTCAAGTGAACTCCAGGGAACTGCTGCGTTTTTCAGAGCCAGGAGTTGCTGCTTCATAACAACTGATAAAAGGCACATAATGAACTATTTCAGTAAGAACTGAAGCAAAGTTTGATTAGTGTCTCTGAAAGAAATCTATTTTAGCTTTAGGGAACTATAAATTATGAAAAAAAAGGCATTTCATCAAGATGGTGATGAAATGTCTGCGAATGCACCAGACTACCATAAAACATCTGGCAAACTAAATAACTCTCTTCCTCTAATCGCACATGTAGTGATCATCCTAAGAGACGTAACAAATTATCACTGCCATATATCTCCACATAAGAAAGCACAATATTGCTCCTGCACAACAGAATCACCCACATTAACAGTCATTTGTTGCATTTTCTTTATTCAGGCTTCCGGCTTCTCCAGAGCCAGATGTTGCCTTAACTATTGAAGCCTTCATTCTCTGTCCATAAAAAGCTCCGTTATTCACCGGGGG